TTTGAAAAACGATTTTTTGAAAAACACAACAAAGAAGATTGTCCTAAACGAACCGTTGCATGTGAATTTTGTAAGAGCTAAGAGAAAAAAAATCTCTGATAATAGTGTAATCTAAAGGATGATGTATATTTTCAGGTCACACAACGATATTGTTTGAGGAAGAAATTTTACATTTAAATATATGTACAGAATTTCGTATACCATGTCCAAATCATTGCAACCAACAGGATATACCACGAGGACAAGTGAGAGTGGAATAATTGTATAGGATAGATGTAACATTTATATCTGTTTAGATGCAAAATCATCTTGACAATGAATGTGCAAAACAAGAATTACCCTGTCCATTTACAGATTGTGGATGTGAATTCAGGGTACGATAAAATGCTTTTAAGAAATTTGGTGCTTCTATGATTTAGTGACGAAGCCAATGATTAAACTAGAAGAGTTTTAAGAAAATTAAAATATTGTGTGCAAATAGGCGTATTAGATGAAAAAATTAGTTTAGACTAACTCTCGTCCATCCATTCCAACCCAACTAAAACTCAGAATTCAGAGATTTGAATTATGCTCTTTCTGTTGACTTAAGTATTTGACATTTTTGAGCCCGAACCCGATCCCGTACCGTAAACTTTAAATCCACAAGAACTTTTTTAGGATCCCGATTTTTCAAAACTAAACCCGCTCGAACCCCAAAATTATTTTCTAGTAAAGTACTGCTCCCTTTCACTTGCACATTAGTAAATCTCTACTAGTAACGGTAGAATGGTAAAATTCATTCAAGAAACCTAATCCTGAATCCCATTCGGATGAACTCCAACCCATGCTGAACCCGAATCCGTAAAAAAGTTCTCGGGCTCCCAATTCCAAACCCGTGGTTAAACTCATAGGACTCTAATACAAGTAGCTTGAAAAAAACAGTGAATGAAACAGCGATATTAAAATACCAGTTTTTTCTTTACTGATCTCGAAAATGGCTTTTAGTAACGTCCTTAGTGGAACTTCGTGTAACCAAGATCTTGAGTTGAATTTTTCCAGTAAGATCTATTCAAGATTTGCTCAGAAAATCTAAAAATTCGAGAAAAGTCAAGATCTTGAACATCTTTTAATTTCTTGACTTCTTGTACCAAGAACTCGGTAATTCTTGAATCATCGTTTTGTTTTACACTCTTGTGTAAATATAAGTGCGAATATTTTCACACTTAGAATAACTTCAAATTTTTTTCCTCTTTGAACGTAGTTGTTTAAGAAAGAACCCATGATTAAGGGTAAGTAACGGCAGGACTTTGTGTATCTCATAATATTTATGGTCGTATATCCGACGGGTATGACTATCATAAATAAAAAGAAAATCTAAAGAAAATTTTTCACTTAAGATCTTCCAACATCTTGAGTGAAAGGTTCAAGAATCCAAGATCTTGACTTTCTGACGTTTTTTCCAAGATCTTGGGTACAAGAAGTTCCACTAGGGCTTGGTCACAGCCATTTAACTGAGATGCTTACTTTGCATTTGTTCTTAACACTAGAACGCCCGTAGCGATCATTTTGACCGTTTTGTGACTTCTATCCTTAATAAAACAAACTGCATACAATTTATTTAAAAATAAATTATGTCATAACGTTTAATTTGTCCCACAAAAATTATTTTTTGCAGAATTTTTAATTCATTTTTGAATTCAGAACCATTTTGAAGTATAAAATTTAAAAAAAGAACAGTAACGGTCAAAATGACTGCTTTGGGCGTTCTAGGTCACGAAAATTTCCGGGCGTTCTAGTGTTAAGCATTTTTTCTCTGTTAGATATGTGCTTTTGATATAAGTTACATTAAACAGGCAGAGGTTATTAAATGTGGACTATGCTCGACGTTAGAAAACATTCGAACAGTAACTAGAGTAGGAATTACTGCAGCTCGATAAATCATATTTGATTTATTAAAAATATAGACTGTGTATGACTGACCACAGCACGGTCTTTATCAGGCTTTGTAACATAAGTACAGGTAGCTTGAGCTAAACTGCTCAATATTTATACTGCTAAGCTAAGTAGAAGTGGCTAATGACAGCCATTCATAGCGAAAAAACACTCATTGTAAAATGTCTGTGTTTGAACAGTTGTTTGCCACTGAAAAATTGTCGCGTTTAGACATTAATACGTTCTCTATTATAATACCCAACAATAGTGAAAAATGTGTCATATGGCTAAAAACTATCATTTAACGACCAGTCACTGACCTATTCATAGCATTTTAATCAGTCGTTAATGTGACAGTTTTCTACCTCCAAGGTTTAAACCATTTCCCTGACGAGGAAAGCCCCAAGTGTTACTCCCACTTTTCAGTGGGACATATCCTGATTTGTAGAGCTTGACGAGGTGATTACGATGGCATAAAGCATTTTTTCTCATGGATCTTGAAGTCCCGGGTTTCTAGAAAACCAGATTTTCAGAAACTTTAAGAAATAACCAAAACCTTTCATCTTGTAGCCCGTATATTTCTGATCAAAATGACATCTCCCAGCTCTACCCGACCTTCCTTTGCAAAGTTATGAAAGTTACAAGAAAAGCCCGAAACTAATTTCTTATTTCTGTAGCTTTGAGCTGACAATGAATATTTAGGGCTTTTCTTGTAAATTCCATAACTTTGCAAAGAAAGGTCGTGTAGAGCTGGGAGATGTCTCATTTTAATCAGAAATATACGGGCTATAAGGTGAAGGGTTTAGGTTATTTTTAGAGTTTCTGAAAAACTGATTTTCTAGAAAACCGGGTCTTCAAGATCCATGAGGAAAAATGCTTTATGCCATCGTAATCACCTCGTCGAGCTCTACAAATCAGGATATGTCCCACTGAAAAGTGAGAGTAACACTTGGGGACCTTCTCTCGTTAAAGAAAAATGATCTAGCTGAAAATTTTGAACCTCACTGCACTCTGCACACAAAGAACTATTTTACACTTGAACACTGCTAATAGACTATTAGCTCATAACTAAATTAGTCAAATTAGTCCATGTTGAACTAATTTTCTGAGTTGTGACGAGATCCTGGTAATTTTAGAAAAACCGGCAGGATGCTGATGTTTATGGCAAATTCCATAGACCCCTACGGGAATATGGTGAGAATTTGTATTCTTTTAGAAGAAGGAAAATCGAGAGAACTATAAGTTCAGCACAAATGGACACTTAAGTTCGCAACACTTGTTCTTGAAAACTAAAAGAAATTTCTCGTAGAAAGATAGGGTAGAGTAGAAGTCAAATCTTCGTGCTATTTTATGTGATTATCTTATTATAAAAATCAAAAATTTAACTTAGCATTATTCTTCCTTTCTTAGGCTGAACGCATGTCTATTACCAAACACATAAAAGAGTCACCGGGTATTCATTTAAATATGGCTGGTAAAACAATATCATTACAAAAGAAATTGTTACAACTTCAAGATGAACGAATGCAAGAACAAAAGAAGTGGATCGAACTGTTAGCTAAAAAAGTGAATGCGTTAGAGAAATGTTATGGCAGCCAACTGATATGGAAAATCGATGGTTATCAAGTATGAACAAAGTATGAGATATGAGTGCAAACTGATGTTTGACTATCTTATAGGAAAAAATAATGGAAGCCAAAAGTGGTAAAAAGCCTACGATATTTAGTCCACCATTTTTGACAAGTAGACACGGATATAAACTGGCTTGTTCCGCTTGTCTCTTTGGAGATGGAAAGGGTAAGTTTATTTTTGCTGTCCATCTCATGACGTAATTTATCCATCGTTTTATGTTAGCTAAAGGCAAATATTTGTCACTCTTTATTTGTATTTGTCGCGGTGAATATGATTCATTGTTGATGTGGCCATTCTCTCATCGAGTCACTTTTACATTGTTGGATCAATGCGAAGATCCGGATAATCGTCGAAACATTAGTTATGTTGTTAAACCGAATACATGCAAAGAAAATAAACCATTTCTCGGAAGACCGATGTACGTATAGTTAGTCTGTGCTCTGTTACAATCTTTCTAATAGTATCTGTTGGTAATTTAGTGGTGAACGTAATGCTAGTTTTGGTGCACAAAAATTCATGGATTTGGATACTATGTCAACATTAGATTACATTAGAGATGATACGATATACATTAAAGTTGAAATTGATAGTGAAGATATGATTGTCATTTGATTAGCGATTGTACACATTAGAACGACTGATATCCTTGTTTTCAGTGTTTTTCTGTAAAGCGTTTCCTAAGTTTATGCTTTATTCGTGAGCTCTACTAAGAGGTGATTCTAATGACCAGTGAATGTATTTAAAGGTGAATAAATAAATATATAAATCATTAATCAATTCAGAAGTATCCAGTTCCTCTATAGACTACTTTGAATTATGCTAAACAGATGCAGTGTAAAACATAAAGTGTGTAAATGACACACATAAAGTGAACGCAAAATCGATTCCCAGGGACCGTTAAGAATGCACGGCTTAGGTGTGTAAAGTACACAGTGAGATGTGGCCGTCTGTACACTGAGACGAATGATATAGTCTACTTGTCTAAACTATCTGTGCTGGAAATGCCTCAGATTCATCAACCAATTGTTCAAATATACCCCCGGTTAGCAAAAAAATACTGGAGACGGCCATCATGAGTAGTCCGAAATGTTCATATATCCCGTCAGGACTAGTCTGGGACGTCCCTTTCTCGTCATGACTAGTCTAGTTTTTAACAAATGTCTGTATAACCCGTTTAGACTGGTCCAAAGAAAAAAAAGATGACATGAATAATTCCATAGTCTTAGTTCGAACCATTACACTGTCTGCGCAAAGAAACTGACGCCGGGACCGGACGGGCGTCTGGTACATTGCTCTAGACAAATAAGATTAAGCCCGTCAACAAGCACTTTCTGATTAGGGAAAATAATATACGGTTCGGTTATACGTAGAAGGATATGCCGAGCGCATAATTCTCTATACGATAGAGTAATTTACAATGTTACCAATGGTAGATTCATGAAGAAACTAAGACACCAAATGCAGCCGGTAGCAAGAAATTGGACAAATTGTCCTAATGATTTCAATTTTTTCACCAGAAAGATGTGAGTTTGAAACAGAAGCAAGGTGATATTTGGAATCCGCGTGAAAACCAAACTGAACGATGCATATTACAGGGAATTTTGAGCAAAGAATTTTTTCGAAAACTTTCCCCTTGGTTCAACCATGCAACCATGGACTCAAATTTTTAAAACAAGTTCTTTTGCTCAGAACTATTTATTCGGAAGTTATGATAAGGTTGCAACGAAGACCTAAATTCGTAGTCACGGCGAAATATTCCTCAGGTATTCTTAAAAACTAGCATGCATAAACTGATAGCGTAATGACTCAGTTGGTTCAACCCAGGTATGTAAACCAAAGTGTCGCATGTTCAGTTCGAACCTATTTCTCTATCTTTCTTTCATTTAGACTAGTCCACACGTCGTCAATATATAGCTTCGCAGACTAGTCAGTGACACTACTACGGACGGTTTTCTTTTAATTAACCGTTAAAATTTCGGACTAGTCGGGATCGTTTTTGTCGTAAAGACTAGTCGGGACGTGTTAGTTCACTTCAGCCCGCCGTACAGTCCAGACGTGTATGCGTGACAGTTAAAATTCTGGACTAATCATGACGGGGTCGTTTTTTTGGTAAAGACTAGTGGGGACGGTCGCCCGGACTAGGAAAAAAGACTAGTCATTCCACTCGTCTTCTGCTTACCTGGCCATATGGCGGGGGTATTTTTCACTTTTGTTTCTTATCCGTTTTTGCTGGGAATGGTGATGATCAAAGATGATGATCATGGTTCTGAAATATTTTTTCATTTGATGCAGTAGTTCCAGAGAAAAATGGGAAATAAGAAAATCTTTTAAGACATCTATATAGCTCTTTACACACTATGATTGACCATCTAGAGAAACCTAACATCGATTTTTTTAGAGGCTGTAGAGGTAATATTGTTATATGGCTCGATCCGCCAGATGCTCCTCTTCAAAGTATGGGTACACTTTTTTGAAATCCTTTTTCACTGCTGAGAAAATTTATTTTTTCTAAATAAGAGGCGAAAAAGTCGGATCCGACAAACACTGAGTCGATTAATGTGTATTTCGAAATTTTTAGTTCATTTTTATTTTTTGGTGAAAAAGTCTCGATGTGAAAATTTGAAAAAAATTGAAGTACTCGTATAGGAGAGAAATACACGTAAATCGACTCAGTTTTCGATCCTGATTGCAAATATGATATTTGTATTGCATAAAAGTTGAGTTCTGTTTGAGAAAAATGAGAATTACTGGCAGAATTCCGACTTTTTTGCCTCTTATTTAGAAAAAATGAATTTTCTCAGCAGTGAAAAAGGATTTCAAAAAAGTGTACGTACACTTTTGAAGAGGAGCATCTGGTGGATCGAGCCATATAAAATATTATCTCTACGACCTCTAGAAAAACCTGTGTTAGGTTTGCAAAATTGCCTTCGGATTTTGCCCTCAAACTATGTCAGTTTGAAGAGAACCCTTGGTTAGATATATCCTTCACTTTTTTCGATAAATTGATGACTATTCAGAGAGTTAGGAAATAATTAACTTTATTCCATTGACTGTAAGTCTATGGTCATACAAAATCACACGATGAAGGACGTACATACACATAGGCATGTGGCAGCGTGACGGACGTACATACATATAGTCATGTGGCAGTATGATGGACGTACATAAACAGAATCACTAATGAGTGTCACGGACATTGGCCACATTGGTTGATGCGTTTGAGTTTTCTGTGGAATCAGAGAAGTGTAACATCTATTCTGACTGCGAGCGCGGAACGAAGGGTCGCGTGAGCATTGTCTAAAAATTAGAAATATTTTTAGACCTTTGGGGGCTCTCGAGAAAACTTTTATAGATTGCAGCTACTTCACGAAGCTGATACATCGTATCGGAGAAATATTCATAACGCATGATAGATAGTCCCTACAGAACACCGACCGTAGGGAGGTGTAAGCGTTGTTTCCACGGACTAGACCAAACTTTGCCCCTCAGGTTTCGTTATCAAAGGTAAGAAGACTAATAGATTTGGTAATATTACGTCCATTTCGAACGTCTGTATGACAGATAAAACCAAATCAAATTACAGAGTCTCAATGAACTACAGAAATTCTGATAAACGTTTCTGACCGGTGAAAAGTTATAGCAAGTGCTCCTGTAAACTAAGATGGAAAATATGGACGTTCTCATTACGAAAAATATCCATCAATTCTGTAGTAACAAGATCGAGTTACAACAGAATGAATAATAATTCCGATAGTACATTAATTCGACTTACAGGCAATGGACTTAGTGAATCGATGCGATTCACGTTATTTATATTTTAATTAAAATTTCGATTTCCAGGGTGTTGTAAAATAATTGGATTATTCTCGTTTCGTCCCATATTTTTTAATTAACGGTCGTTTTGTTCCGATTATTTTCTATCATTCTACTAATTTTATAACTATCCATTTTTTTCTATCAACTGTGGACTAATTAATATTAATATAATTAATTAAGATAACGTAAGAAATTGATACATGGCTTTATAAGTCACAATTATTATTATATTTACGAGTTACGATGAAACTTTTAATTTACAGTATTAAAACATTTGCCACAGTTCCAGACAATGCCACAGTCATTTGTTCAGTTCCAGACAAGGTACCATTTTCATATCTTTGAAAGAAACAACCAGAAAGAACGGGGGAGGATAAGCGAGCGTCGAGCACCCCAATAAAACTTACATATTCGGAATCAGCGTAAAATTCTGAGTATTTTAGCCGTCTCACTTTTCCAAAAACCGCATTTTGACTTTTATCGAAAACTTTAAGGGCGAAGGTCCCACCTTGAAACATAGAAAAAACGTTTTCCTCTAAAATTTTCGAAACACACCTTTTCTGACTCAGAATTTTGTGCTGATCACGAATATGGGATCTAAAGTTAGACAAGGTAAATATTTCGTGGAGTCGAATGCCAAAAACTGAAGGTTGGTCCAGGTCAGTCCAATTGATATTTTGCAGGTTTTCACCAAGAAAGAGTCATTCAATAACTTGAAACTAAACAGTTATTGGCGAAAATAGTTGCTCTATCCAACTACGTAAACAAAAATGCAGTGTGAGCGTATTTTGAGCAAAAATATTAAGAAAAAGAGGAAAAATAGTCAAAAATCGGCCACAATCCTTCACTGTGTCGCCTCTGAATTCCAAACGAAACCTTG